TTCATCGTTTTGCGGCGTCCCTGGGGCGCTCTCGGCGCCACCGCCGGATTCTTTCTGGCATTCTCTAGCCAGGCCGCAGTCCAGGACTGGTCCAGCAGTCGAGTTTGGGCCCCCGGACCTCAGACCTTCAACGTCTTGGCAAGAATCAGGGCGCAGGTTCTCACTATCTTCGGCCTCCAGGGGGAGAAGACGGCTCAGGATGAAAAGCTGATCCTGGAGGGAACCTTGCCTCGGGAATCGGGCGGGTGGCAAGGGGGGTTGGCTTGCACGGGGGGTGAACAGAACAGCGGGGGGTGAACAGAACAGCCCTCGAGGGGTCCTTTAGGGCTCCTTTTGGAGCCAACAGGGGACCTAAAGGGCCCTCTTCTCTTCACCCCCCAATGAGGTCACCACCAACTACCTCCCGCCTGAGAGAATCGGGGGTGGACAGAGCCCCCACCCTGACGCGTCGACTGGTGACTTGTCCGCTTTCGGCTCTCGGGAGGGCGCCGCGGCCGTCATTTCCCAGGCTTGCGCTCGCCAGGTTTGGGCCTGAGGTCGTCTTCACGAAACCGCGCTTTACTGAAGGTAGTTCTGTCCATCCCCGAGAGAACGGGCACGCGACACGGGCATGGCTTCCTCGGACGCCCTCGCGGAGTTCCTTGGTCGGCGCGGGACCACCCTCCCCGCGACCCCGATCCCCCCGGTCCGGCCTCCGGCGCCGCCCCCGTCGCGCTCCGCGCGCGGGAGGAGGAGGAGGAGGCGGAGGAGGAGGAGGAGGGGGAGGAGGTGGATGGGCAGGAGCAGGAGGAGGGGCAGGAGGAGGAGGAGGAGGAGGAGGAGGAGGAGGAGGAGGAGGAGGAGGAGGAGGAGGAGGAGGGGCAGGAGGAGGAGGATGAGGAGGAGGAGGAGGAGGAAGAGGAGGAGGAGGAGGAGGAGGAGGAGAAGGAGGAGGAGGAGGCGGCGCGCGGGAGGTGGTGCGACTGCCAGCGGTCCCTACCCCGGGGGGTCCACTCGACGACGGGAGATCGGACCCCCCCCCCGCCGCCGGAGCCCCGCTTGGCTGCAGACAGCCCCCAGATTCTGAACCTCAGCCGGTGCGTCGGCGACCCGACCTGCAGGGGTCCAGTCGGGGCGCTGAAAAAGGAACCCTTTTCGTTCGGGAGGGGCTCCGTGTTTCCTAGTTGTTTCACAGTTTGCCTTAGGTTCTCCTTAGGTGTTCCATGGGAGATCGAAGTTCAATGTGTGGAGAAATGGGGCCTCGTTTCTTTTTTGGAGTTCCTTAGGCCAACGGCCCGGCTGTAGGGTCCACATGTGGTTCGGGAATCCAGCGCCGACCCAATGGATCCGCGCGGGCGCCCCGGTGCGAATGCATGTGCCGCTGCTCCGCGGAGAGCGGGGGGAGGGCCAGGGACGGCGGGCTCCTGAGTCGGTGTCCACATGTGAACCCTACCCCCCACGATTTCTAAGAGGGGGTGGGGGTTCACTGCGCTGAGGACCTCCCGAAAAAAATGAACCCCCACCTCCCCTTAGAAATCGTGGGGGGTGGGGGTATCATGACGCCAACATCGCAGAGCAGGTTTCGCTCGGAAAGCAGCAGGATGAGCCCGGAATGTCCTGGAGAATTTCGTTCTGGATTTCGAAGGGAATTCCGTGCGGATCATTCTGGCCAGGAATGAAGTCACAACAACATCCACCTGACATTCACTTCGTTTTTCGCTCGCTGTTTCCGTTTTTTTTTGCATTGGCAGAAATCCACGCCAAACATCCGCTGCAGCACGTCTGCAAGGTCGGCTCACGTGCGACCACCTACTGAGGCCCAATGCGGCAGCCGACATCTGCCGAGCACCTGCCCGGCTGCCCCTGGCCACCCGCCCCAGACATCTACAGTCGGGGCCCTGAAGAAGGAACCCTCTTCGTTGGGGAGGGGCTCCGTGCTCCTTACTTGTTTCGCAGCTTGCCTTAGGTTTTCCTTAGGCTTTCGATATGAAATCGAAGTTGAACTTATGGAACATAGGGGCCTCGTTCCTTATTTAGGGTTCCTTAGGTCAACGCCCCGACTGTACGGCTCCCCACCCAAAGGGGGCCCCCGCCCCTTCCCCAGAGGGCCGGCCCTGCAACCCGAGCCGCCTCTGTGGACGGTCCTTGGAGGGCACGGGGAGGGCCCAAAGACTCCCCGTCGCTGTTTGTTCCACGGAGGGGGTCCTCTTCTTCCTCCTCCTCCTCCTTTTCCTGCTCGTCCTCCTCTTCTTCCTCTTCTTCCTCTTCCTCCTCTTCCTCCTCCTCCTCCTCCTCCTCCTTCTCCTCCTCCTCCTCCTCCTCCTCTCCTCCTCGTCCTCCACCTCCTTCCCCCCTCCGACTTATGGCGGCGGTGGTGGAAAACAGGCCCATCAGAGGGGGTCTGGGCTTCCGGCCCCTTCTCGAGGCTTAGTTGGTCGCCCCCCATGCAGTCTTGATTCCCCCCAGGGCCCGACAGCGGGATCCAGAGGCCGGCACATCGAGGAAGAGCGAGGCGACGATCGATGTACAGCTCTGGGCCCCCAGGCCGTCGTCCTGCCCTCCGCGACGCGAGCATGCCCGGGACCCTCCTCCTCCTCCCCCTCCCCTCCTCTCCTCCTCCTCCTCCTCCTCCTCCTCCTCATCTCCTCCTCCTCCTCCCCTCCTCTTCTCCTCCGCCTCTCCTCCTCCTCCTGCTCCTTCTCCTCTCCTCCTCCTCCTCCTTTTCCTCCTCCTCCCTCCTCCTCCTCCTCCTCCTCCTCCTCCTCCTCCTCCTCCTCCTCCTCCTCCTCCTCCTCCCCCTCCTCCTCCTCCTCCCCCTCCTCCTCCTGCCCCCCCGTGGCTCCTCGGGCGCTCGGCCGGCCGCGGTGCTGGAGCGCTGGATGAACGAGGCCGCGTTCCGCGGCACCGGGGCGCGCGACGAGTTCACGCTGGGCGCCGCTCTGGGCGCTCGCGCCGCCGAGGTGCTGCGCGCCCACCGCGAGAGCTGGACCTCCTCCCTGCGCGCGGGGCGCAGCGGGGGGACCTCGGCTCCTCGGGGTGCCGGCGGGCGGGCTACAGGCGTCTCGAGCAGTGGCGAAGCGTCTTGGCGTGCCTATAGGCCTACGAGGAGGAGGAGGAGGAGGAGGAGAGGAGGAGGAGGAGGAGGAGGAGGAGGAGGAGGAGGAGGAGGGGGAGGGGGGGGAGGGGGGGAGGGGAGGGGGAGGGGGAGGGGGAGGGGAGGAGGAGGAGGAGGAGGAGGAGGAGGAGGAGGAGGAGGAGGAGGAGGAGGAGGAGGAGGAGGAGGAGGAGGAGGAGGAGGAGGGGGAGGAGGGGGTTCTAAGAACCTTTTGTGGATTCCACGGAATGTTCTTAGAACAGTTCTGGCTGGGACTGTCTTGTTCAATCACATCGGGCTTATGTTCTAAGAACATTATTTGTCCTAGCACATTTCCGGGTTCGATCGCGGTAGGACTATAGGAATGCCGGGACGGTCGGTCCCTGCTTAACTGACGCCGCGTGCGTGCGCTCCTGGGAGGCCCCGCGGAGACCTCGCGGCTCCATGGGGTTGTGGACGACGATCAACGGAGAGGAGGCATGTTGCCAGATCATTTCCACATGTCTAGACAATGTTTAAACCATGTCTTAGACATACAAGAAACATATTTCAAGCACTTTGGGAACAAGCTTAAACATGTTCAACACATGTTTAACTCAAGGATCGGATTGTTAGGGTGTCCATTGTCATGGCATCCACAATCATGGGGGGCAGCGAATTGCGCAACCGTCGCCACGTGCGTGGGCTCCTTGGAGACCCCGCGGCGTGGGGGAGTACGCACATCCAGCCGAGGCCTCGCGGCTCCATCGGGGAGGAGGACCGCGATAACTGCGCAGGTTGCCGCCGTTTTCGTAGGCTCATGGGAGGCCCAGCGGAGTGGGGGAGGACGCACGTCTAGCCGAGACCTTGCAGCTCCCTGTGGGCTGCGAGCTGCGCAACCATCGCCCTCTGAGCGTGGTCTCCCGGGAGGCCCGGCGGAGTGGGGGAGGACGCGCATCCAGCCGAGGCTTCGCGGCTCCTGGGCACTGCGGGTCCTTCGACATGTTTGTTTGTATTGAGCGGTCCTCGCTCAGGGTTTTGTACGTCGCAGGGTAATTTGAGGGATTTCTCCCAGACATGCTTGCGTCGTAAACAAATCAGGACGGGAGGCTTTTGGCCGTTGTCGGCCTCGCCGAGTTTCGGGGGGACCGTCCAAAAAACGACTCGCTCGAGGCATCCTCGCAACATCGACCCCCGGCGCGCGAGGAGGCCAGGCCCCACTGCGCCCGCAGGAACCACTTCCGGGGCGCGCGCCGGGGCGCGTTGGGCCAGCCCAGGGGTCTCGCTCGAGTCATCCTCGCAAAGTCGACACCTGGCGCGCGAGGAGGTCAGGCCTCACCGCGCTCCCAGGGACCATTTCCGGGGCGCACCAGGTGTGTCCCAGCCCAGGGCTCTCGCTCGAGGCATCCTCGCAACGTCGACCCCCGCAGCGCTGAGTCGCCCCATGCCCGACGCCTGGAGGAGGAGGAAGATGAGGAGGAGGAGAAGTAGGAGGAGGAGGAGGAGGAGGCGGAGTAGGAGGAGGAGGAGGAAAGAGTTCATCAGTGTTGTAGTGAATTTTCTTCCACGCGTTGGGGTGGTGGCGCATGCAATTGGGGCACATCGTTCGCATCCGGCGGGCTGTGGCTCTCGCTCGAGACATCCTCGCGAGGCGCGCGGGGCCAGGCCCCGCCGCGCCCCCAGGGGCCCATCTCAGCGGCGTGCGCCGGTGCGCGTTGGGTCGTCATCGTCATCGTTGTCGCCATCATTAATGGGCTTGTTTTCCACCACCACCATGAGAAGTTGGAGGGGGGAAGGTGGCGGAGGATGAGGAGGAGGAGGAGGAGGAGGAGGAAGAAAAAGGGGGGGAGGAGGACCCCCTCCCCCCTCTGGCTTGTGGTGGTGGTGGTGGAAAACAGGCCCATTAAGCATTAAGCATCATCCGCTGTGCCATGGACACATGCCTACCAGCATTTTATGCTCAAGGGTAGCGGCGTTTTTCCTCACTGGACCATCGCCGCTCCCTTTGACGACTCGACAGCATGGGGTGCACGGAGGGCCGCGACGTGGTGCCCGAGCGATGTGGTTGCGACGGTTCGGAGTTGACGAAAGTGACGCTCGAGAAGGGGGGGTGCAATCGAGCTTTCGGAGCCCGCGTAGTCGACACGGAGACCAAAGATGTTGGATTGCTGATCGTGCGCGTCACTGCAGGCGGCGCGCTGAGCAAGTGGAACGCAGTCAACCCTTCAATGGCTATTGGCCCAGGCGATAGCATCGTCGAGGCGAACGGTCTTACGGAACCATGGGCCATTATGGAAGAGATGGCAAGAGTCGTGAAAGTTCATATGGTCGTCCGCCGCGCCCCGCCAGGGGGTAAGGCCTTGCTGGCACAGTGCAAGGTCACGAGCCAGAGCCTCCAGACAACCGCGCTTGTTTTGAAGCAAAGTGTTCAGGCGTGCGACGTTTCCGTGGACACTTGCGCCATTTGCTTGGAGGACGTGGAGGCTGACGAGCGGATTGCAGGCGTCGCGAGATGGAACGCAGCCACCAAGCTTCCTCGGGCCCCATTCGGTCGAATACTTTGGTGAGTATCGGCTCAGTCGCACCAGGAAGTCGTACCCACCAGGGTCTGGCTTCCAAATGGATCTGCGGAGGTATGGTGGTGAGTGTGTTCCTTTCTCGCAAGGCCTCAAGTGCGGGCATGGGTTTCACCACAGGTGTCTGATGCGATGGCTGGGACGCCGCGAGACGGCCAGTTGCCCGCTCTGCAGGGAGGCAGTCCATTGACGAACCCACTTCGATATGCTTTTTAGTTCGAATGTCCTTGTGGATGGCTTCTGGCATTCGGATAACTGACTACACGAACTACAGCTTCATATAATCGATCCAGGAATAGTGTCACATGCCAGCTTGATGTTATGTGCCCGTGTGAGCAGACCAACAGTTTCCCCGTGCAAATGCCTTAGTTCGTAGTCCATATTCTTGCATTCCTTTTCCTCACGCGCAGCGACACATCGAACCCGCCTCAGTTCCGGAAACAGCACCCTACCACCCCACTCAGTTTTAACTACTCATCTGCCAAAAGCCACTGAACATGCCCGAACCTATCGGAATTATAATTGCCCCCGTCGGGAAATCCTGGGTAGCACGTGCAAGCACACAGCGCGCCACGTTGCAAGGCACACGGCATGACACTGCACGGCGTCGTTCATTGGCATGGTGCGCCACGTACGCCGCCGCAGATGTATGTGTGACCGTGCGCACAGCAATGCAACGAAATGCAAAGTATCGCAAGGCAATGCAAGGCAACGCAAAGTAACGCACATCAGTTCAAGGCAACGCAATTCAACGCAACGCAATGCAAAACAGTGCACCGCAAAGCCATGCAACGCAATGCGAAGCAATGCACCACACTGCAAAGCAATGTAAAGCCATCTAACGCAATGCAGATAACTGCAAAGCAATGGAACACCATGCAACGCAATGGACCGCAACGCAACGCAATGCAAAGCAATGCGAGGTAATGACAAGCAATGCGATGCAACACGATAGCAAGGAAAGGTTCTGCGATTGCCATGCAGTTCAGGTCTACTGAGATGCAACGGTGGACGGCGGCGGCGATGGGCGGGATCGGTGCCGCTCGGTACGCAGGCAGTGGTTCTATGGGGAAAAATGGGGCGGCGACGGGCGGGATCAGGGCCGCCGGGGCTGCAAGCAGGGTTGGTTCTATCTGGAAAAATGGTACTAGCGGACAGCAGTAGTTCCTTAGAGGGCAAGTGAGAATCCCTAAGTGCAAGCAGTTCTCAGGCTTATATATACATATATATATATATAACAAAAGCAGACATGTATGTGTGTATATATATATACATATACACACATACACACATGTCTGCAACCACGGAACCGCCACAGGACAAGCGCGGGACAACCACTGCATCTTTGCGCACGGGGATCCATTCTGCCGCGGTTTGGACCCAGGTTAATGCAGGAATTAGCGCAGGTTCGCCTCGCCTCACACGCGCCTCAAGCACAGCAGAGCCGAAACAAAAACCGATCTTCCGATATGGGGACCCAGTTCCAGTTCGATCTTCCAATCTGGTGCGCCGTCTGTTGCGCACTCGGTCGCGCAACCGACGGCACACTAGATTGGGACTCGCGCTGTCGGTTGCGCCGTTTCAGGGTGCGCCGTCGGTTGCGCACTACAGTCAAGACGCTGACATAAGGACCGCTTTCGCCTCGGAAGGGGCTCGCCGTTGCCGTTGCCTTGGTCATTCCGTGGTTGTTCCCCTGGCCCTCCTCGTGCGTTTGGGCCTTCTTGGTGCCGGAGAGGGGCTTCGTTCTTAGCGTTCCTCACTGCAGCAGCTGGAATCGTGCGCTATAGAGTCTGCCGCAGGCTGTCCCATGGGCCGTCCCATGGGTTCTGGGCATGGCGCGCCCGCCCGAACCACGGACTGCCCCTCCTCCTCCTCCTCCTCCTCCTCCTCCTCCTCCTCCTCCTCCTCCTCCTCCTCCTCCTCCTCCTCCTCCTCCTCCCCCCTCCCTCCTCCTCCTCCTCCTCCTCATCCGCCGCCTCATCTCTCTCCTCTCTCGTCCTCCCTCCTCCTCCTCTCCTCCTCCTCCCCCCTCCCTCCTTCTCCTGCTCCTCTTCCTCCTCCTCCTCCTCCTCCTAGTCCTCCTCATCCTCCTCGGTTGGGTCAGATGCTGCGCATGGCATGACCCGCGGCAGCTTCGCGTCGTGTCCACTGGCGGCGATCCGGCCACCGGCGTTCAACGTTGAATGCCTTCGGCGACCCAGAGTCGGTCGACGTTGAACGATCTCACGTTTCAGAAACGGCCGACTGTTCAAGGCTGAGCTATCCCCGCGGGGTCAGGAACCAACGCCGAAGTCGGCACGACACGAACCCGCGGCACCAATCACGAGTTGTGTTGCGTTTTTCAGGTTTTCCTTGGTGAGCCGTAGGTTGCGCCGTAGGTTGGGCACCGTTTGGTTTCCGAATCACGTTGTGTCTTCCCGCTTTGTGTAAGCTTGCGCCAGAGGTATTGCGCAGGGCCAGCACTCCCGTCTCAAGAATCGCCTCAGTCTGCCTTTATTTAGAAGTCTTAGAAGTATTGAAGATCGTTTGGTATTGTGGGGGGCGACGTGAATTGAGAACTTTCTCAGAATGTCTGTAACATGCAGCGGATCGTGCAGCGGTGCTCAGTAGACGGGTCGCCATGCGACGTTGGTCCAGCCAGGGGCAGCACAGTTCCAGATTCGTCGCGGCAGTTGTGTCTAGGTGGCTGAGCGGGTTCGTTTTCCCGCTCGTGGAGGTCTTTGCAATTCGGTCGCTCAACGACAAGCAGTTGCGCGACGGCATGCTGGTGTGGGAGCATAGCTTTTACCGCTGAGTCGTTGCATGTGTTATGCTGTGTTCCGCTCGAGACGCGCCGTTCTCCTATCTTGGAGGTAGTTTTAATGTTTGTCACATGCCACCCGCTGCACACCCAGACTTCACATTAGCTTCGTGCCGTGTTTACGCGGCGGTGACCCAACCGCCTGCGTTCAAGGTTGAACGCCGCCAGTGACCCAGATCCGGTCGATATCGAACAACCTGTTCTATCGGAAAGCCGCGATGGTTCAGGGTTGAACGATCCAGTTGGCGCCAGAATCAATGCGGACGTCATCGCGACGCGAATTTGCCGTAGTTTTGCTTTGTTCTTTTTATCGGCAGCGCGCCCTGGGGAAGTGAGCGGGAGCAGGCATTCTCAGAAGGCGGCAGGCTTCTCAGAAGCCCTCTGGCATGCTGAGAAGCCGGCATTCTGAGAAGCTGTCTAGGTCTTCGGAGAAGGCTTAGAGAAAGCTTCTCAGGAGGCATTCCGAGCTTTCCCAGCCTTCTGAGAAGGCCCACCCCCTCTGCCTTCCCCCCTGGGCTCGCCGCCGATAGCATCCCTCTCCTCCTCCCAGAGCACCTGGGGCGACGCCCCGACAAAAGGGGGTCGTTTGCGCCGACGGTGGCGCGTGAGCCACCCGCGCAGGCCGCGCGGAAGGGCCCTCGTCTCCACTGACGCGCCGCGCTGGTGGCCCACGTGAGAGTCACCGCGCTGGCGGCCGCCGTGCCGTCTCGCGCGAGACCCGTTTTGGATCGCCGCTCACCTGGCGCCCTCCGGGCGGAGACGGCTCCGGCGCCGCTGCAGAGCGCCACGGAGTGCCGGCGCCCCGCGATGCGAGCGGATGCGGTGTTTCCCTCGCCGTCTCGGCTCCTCCCCCCTCCTCCTTCCACTGGGGCTCCGAGCCTGGCCCGGCCAGGAGCGGTGAGGTGGATGTCCGACGCCCCCCGGCCCGATGCTTCCTCCCTCCCCCGCTGCCCCCTCCTGGCCCCTTTTCACGTGCTCCTCAAGGGGAGGAGGAGGGGGAGGAGGAGGAGGAGGAGGAGGAGGAGGAGGAGGAGGAGGAGGAGGAGGAGGAGGAGGAGGAGAGGAGGAGGAGGAGGAGGAGGGGGAGGAGAGGAGGAGGAGGAGGAGAGGAGGAGGAGGAGGAGGAGGAGGAGGAGGAGGAGGAGGAGGAGGAGGAGGAGGAGGAGGAGGAGGAGGCGGAGGAGGAGGAGGAGGAGAGAGGAGGAGGGGGAGGGGGAGGAGGGGGGGGAGGGGGAGGAGGAGGAGGAGGAGGAGGGGAGGAGGAGAGGAGGGGGGGGAGGAGGGGGAGAGGAGGGGGGAGGAGGGGGGAGGGGGGAAGTACGTAGGAGGGGAGGAGGAGGAGGAGGAGGAGGAGGGAGGAGGAGGAGGAGGAGGAGGGGGAGGAGGAGGAGGAATCATCGTCTTCGCCGTCCTCCTCCACGCCCTGCCTCTCGCTCTGCGTACCATTCGGTCGGGCGTGTCCCTCCACAGGGGGAAGACTCAACAATTGTAAAACATAGTCTGGGAACTTTTTTGTCTTAACCAAAAATCGATATCATTGATATACATAAATATATGTGTAGATGTATTTACTGTCCTAACATGTTTTGGGTATGATTATTTTTCGTCCAAAATCTGCCTGTGGGGGGAAATGCCCGACCTAAGGGTACCATCCTCTGTCTGGCCTCTGTGTTTGAGCGTTCGGCTCGAGCCGTCGCTGGTCAAGCACCTGCCTCTCAAGACCTTCAGCAGCGACTCTGCGCAACCGTAGTTGGAGGAGGAGGAGGAGAAGGAGGAGGAGGAGGGGCAGGGGTTTGAGAACTTACGCTCCAGGTGCGTGCCCCGCGGCTTGCCAAAGAAAAGTAAGGGATTGGAGAAGGCAGAGGTGGAGGAGGACGAGCTAGGTGCCCTCGCGCCATGTATCTGGCATAATACCCTTTCCGCCCATCCATTCCCACTGCGCCGTTTTTCCTTTATCCGCCCACGCGTGTTATAGCAGACCTGGGACCCCATCGAGGACCCCACCGTGTTACGCGCAGTCGGAAGTGGGAGCTGCGTACACTGGAGGAGGAGATGGCGGATGAGCTGGAGGATGAGCAGGGTGGACGGGAGGAGGAGGAGGAAGGAGGAGGACGAGGACGCACAGGATAAGCAGGAGGTAGCGTGGAAGGAGCGGGAGGAGAGAGGAGCAGGGGGACCAAGGGAAGGCGGAGGAGGGGCAGCGAGGGGGGCAACAGCGGTGAACAAGTGCTAAGTCGGGCGTGCCCCGTCTACAGAAGGAGTAGTCAAGCATAGCTTGTGTGTGTATATATATATATATATATATGTTTGACTCTTCTGGGATGTGTTTTAAAAACTATTTGTCATGTTTCCTACAGAAGGGGAAGAAACACAGACACAATTAATCGTCGACTCCCCAGAAAATATGGAAAAATATGGGAAGTGGTGGGGAAGACAAAAACAAGGAAATATAGGAAAATATGGGGAATATCTTTATTTGCGTGTATTTATTCGTGTGTCCCAGGGCCCCTTCAACGAAATCCGCCTGCAGGGGGGAGGTACCCGACCTAAAACACGTGGCACGCGCGGGGGGCGGCAGCGCCGCTCGGAACGACGGGGGCAACGCGCCGATCCGGCGGCAAAAGAGAGGCCCCGCGCCCGGCGGCGGGAGCGCCCGCGCGGAGGCGCCGAGAGCCGTCGGGCCCTTGCAGTCACCCCGTGTAATAAGGACGCACGACAAGGACGCAAGTAGGGGAACCAACAGTGACATAAACATACAAACTCGGAGGTCCGCGCGGACCTTCGAATTGTTATGTTTATGTCAGTTTTGGTTCCCCTAGCAAGGGCCTTGGGAGGCCATGTCGACACTCTGCGAGCGGGGCGAGGCCAGCGCAGCCGGCCAGATATGGGCCGAAGGGGCCAGGATGCAAGGGTACCCTTGGGAAGGTTGCCCAGCCTTGCTGTGCGGGTTAACTGTAAACCCCACGAGAGGGGTCACTACCTGAGAAGTCTGGCGTGTGAGAGGTGAGCTCGCGGAGCACTTCCCAAGCAGAGTCGGGAAGGAGAGGAGAGTGGCACTCATCAAGTGCAACCGCAAAAGACAGGGGGGGGGGCAGGCGGAGGAGGAGGAGGAGGAGGAGGAGGAGGAGGAGGAAGGAGGAGGAGGAGGAGGAGGAGGGAGGGGGGGGAGGAGGAGGAGGAGGAGGGGGAGGAGAACAGGAGGAGACAGGAGGAGGAGAAGGGAGGAGGAGGAGGAGGAGGAGGAGAGGAGGAGGGGGAGGAGGAGGCAGGAGGAGATGGAGGAGGAGGAGGAGAGGAGGAGGAGGAGGAGGAGGAGGAGGAGGAGAAGGAGGCAGGAGAAGGAGGAGGAGGAGGCGTTGGGCCGAGTAGGCAGGTGAGGATCACAGGGGGGGAAGAGGGGGGAGGGAGAGCAGGGAATGGGCGACGGAGGTGGTGGAAGAGATGACGGTGTTCCAGGACGACGAGGACGAGCAGGGGGAGGGTTCCGATAATAAGGGGAACATGGACACCGAGGTGAAGCATGAGGATGAGGCGGGCTCGGGGGATCCAGAGGAGGAGGAGGAGGAGGAGGAGGTCGAGGAGGACAGGGGGGGCTCTGCATATCCTTCTCGGGGGCCACAAGCCCTCGATGTTTGCACCCGCCCAGGGTCCGGTGGCAGTTTTCCAGAGTGATGGTAGCTCAAGGCTGCTTAGCTCGACGTGGCCAGGGGACCTCGTGGATTCTGTATCGTTCCGCTTCGCATAATGAAACCGAACGCCATCGGCAGCATCACCCTCGTTACCTTCATCGCCGCCAGTACGATCCCCGACAGGCGCTGGCAAGAGGGGATGGCAAGACTGTGCACACGCAGAGGCATGGAGGCACGCTGCCAGCGCCGGGATGCTGCGTCGCCGGTGAGGGGAGCCTCTTGCCCATCGGAAGCGGTGAGGTGGGCAGGGCAGGCCAGGCTCGGGTGGCCTCCAGAGGGCGTCCTGTTGAAGGCGGCGCCGGCGACGGGGAGCTGAAGTTCACGGGCACACGGCCATCGGGGGCAGCGATAGTCAAAACATGACCTGGGGACGATTCTCGATTACAGTATTCCTGCTCAGCCTTGAGTTTTTTTTCCTCCACAGGCCGACCTCCTGCGAGCCCCCTCGCAGCGGTCCAGGGATGCCCCGGGCCGGCCGCCGCGCCCGGCGCGTCGACCCCCGGGCCCTCAGGGGCAACGAGGAGGGGGGGCTGGGCATAGGGGCGGATGCATCGACCCCCGATCGCCCACTGATCGCCGATGGGGGCCCGACAGCCCCAGCCTGCCCAGGAGGGTGCGGATCCGCTATCGGAGGCCCGTCGCCGAGCTGTCGGCGGCGGATCGCCGATTCCAGGTCGGTGCATCCCCCCCCTGTGCCCGTCCTCCCCCCTAGCGTTGCCCCTCGAGTCCAGACGCCGAGACAAGGACCACGCCGGGCTCAGAAGGGGGCGCCGGTTCTCGGGCCGCTCCGTCGATCCACGCTTCTCTCTGCGAGCCGACTCGAGGCCGAGGGCTCGCCGTGGCCAGACGAGCCCCTCCGCTCCTCGTGCAGCGTGCCTGGTGGTACGGCGGTGGCTGTGTATTTAAAACTCCACGCGTGCGCACGCGGCGCAACACCGTGTGCCGACCTCCACCTTCGCGACGGCGAGCGTGCGTCCCGCAGCCTTTCTATGCTCCCCGAGAGCTCTCGTGCCGACACGCGTGCGCACGCGGCGGAACACCATGTGCCGACCGCCACCTTCGCGACTGCGAGCGTGCGTCCCGCAGTCTTTCTATGCTCCCCGAAGAGCTCTCGTGCCGGCACCGTCCCAAGGGGGCCCCAGCAGAGCGCCCTGCCGCCATCTTGGGGCAGTCCAGAAGCCTGCCTTCCGAACTCTTGGCATCGCTCGGACGTGTGCATTTTTTCTCGGCGACGGCCATCGAGGACCATCCTTGATCATTTGGCGAAAAAAAAAACGCATGACATCGAAAAATACACGAGGAATGGACGTCCGACGGCGACGACGCCCAGGGCGCGCGACGGTGCCCCCGCGAGCGCTCCGGGCGTCCCGAGAGAAGGCGGGGCCCTGGGGCCCTGGAGAGGATCGCTGGCAGCTCACGGCGCCGAGAGCTTGAGGGAGCCCGAGGACGCTGCGCTTCGTGCCTCGCGGCACGGTGGTGAATTGCTGTTGCGCTGTTTGTTGTTGTTGTTGTTGTTGTTGCTGTTGTTGTTGCTGTTGTTGTTGTTGCTGTTGTTGTGGTTGTGGTTGTTGATGTTGTTGTTGCTGTTGTTGTTGTTGTGGTTGTGGTTGTGGTTGTTGTTGTTGTTGTCGTGGTTGTTGTTGTTGTGGTTGTTGTTATTGTTGTTGCTGTTGGTGTTGTTGTTGCTGCTGTTGTTGTTGTTGTTGGTGGTGGTGGTGTTGTGTTGGTGTTGTGTTGGTGTTGTGTTGTTGTTTTTGTTGAGGTTGTTAGTGTTGTTGCTGTTGTTGTTGTTGTTGCTGCTGCTGCTGCTGCTGTGGTTGTGGTTGTTGTTGTTGTTGCTGTTGTTGTTGTTGTTGTTGTTGTTGTTGCTGTTGTTGTTGTTGTAGAATTCTCACTTCTGAACAATAATTATTTTTGACCCCCCCCCCACCGGTGCATACTGTTTTTTCTCAATCAAAGTGTGCCCTCGACGCTCGCACCCTGTTTTTCGACAGGGGAAGTCTTGATGCTCAAGCTGGGCCCCTGGCCCCCGGGTTACAACAACAACGGCTCCCGCCCGAGACATCCTTACATTTTAGCCAGGACCCCCGTTCCCGCCCGAGATTTCCTCGCATTTTATGCAGGAATCGCGCTCTCGCTTGGGACTTCCTTACAATTTATTCAGGAATCGCTCTCCCGGCGCTCTGGAGTCGCGCTCTCGCTGGAGACTTGCTTGCAACTTACTGAAGAATGGCCTTGCGTTGGAATTTCTGCAATTTGCCCAAGCGCCGCGCTCCCGACACCCAGGCACCCAGGAGTCGCGCCCGTTGTGGCCCCATGTGCATGCCCTTCGTGGCCCCGCTGTCGCCATTTGTGTCCCCCTCACTGTCCTACGTGGCTCAGTTGCTACCCTCAGTGGCCCCATAGTTGCCTTCTGTGGCCCCGCATTATCTGCACTTCGTGGCCCCCGCTCGTTCGCGCTCTTCGTGGCTCCATACGCATTCCCTTCGTGTCCCCGCTGTCGCCCTTCGTGGCCCACTTCGTGCCCTTCGTGGCCCTGCTGTCGTTCTCTCTCGCTTTCGCTTTCGTTCGTCGTCGCCGTCGTCGTCGCCGTCGTCTTCGACGTCGTCGTCGTCGTCGTCGTCGTCGTCGTCGTCGTCGTGGTCGGTTCCCTGTCCGTCCTTCTTGGCGTCGGGTCGACGGTCCGCGGCCGCCCCGCCGATCAGCGCTGCCGCTGGCCAGGCCGACGGTCCGCGGCCGCCCCGCCGCTTGCCGGGGCCCGGCCTGCAGGGAAAAAAGGTATACCCTCAAAAGGGGCTCGATCGAAGACGAAGAGGGCGGGTATCGAGGGTTTGGGAAATACGCGTTATTGGACACTCGAGCATATAAGGGCGAACAGTCTTAAACTTACTGTTGTTGTTATTGTTGTTGTTGTTGTTGTTGGTGGTGTTGGTGTTGGTGTTGGTGTTGTTGTTGTTGTTGTTGTTGTTGTTGTTGTTGTTGTTGTGGTGGTTGTTCATTGCTGTTGTGTGGTATGGTCTGCACATTTATGTGCGCCAATTTCTTTGCTTCAGGATCTGAGTGGGGCGTGC